CACGCCCCTGGCAAAGAGCGGCGGCAGCGGGCGGGAGTCTGCAGCCCCGGCCTTGGCCGCCGCGCCGCCCCGCGGTGGGGATCGAGCACCACGGGTGCAAGCAACTCCCCAAGCAGCTTCCTTAGGGAGTCCCGGGAAGGGAGGGCTCCGCCCCTCTCCTGTTTTGTTTTGTTTTGTTTTGTTTTGTTCCGCCCCTCTCCTTTTCTGTTTTGTTTTGTTCCCTTCTCCTTGTCCCCCAGGGAGGGAGGGAGGGATTTCCCGGCTCTGGGCCAGCCCCGGACAGGCCACGCCGCACAGGTCCTAGTTGCTTCCAGCTCTGGGGTCAGCCTTCACGCACCCGGAGTTCGAGACCGCAAGGTTGAAGGAACAGATGCGATGTGATGAGTCCCTCACCTACCGCGCGTGGTTTTTGCGGTTTGTTTGTTTTAGTTACAAACCCCCACCCATGCCTGCAAAATGTTACCTGGATAGTTATAAATACTGTCGAAGATCACACTAACGAATTTCAGTGCATTTATTTCATGTGCTTAGTATTTGGCTATGTAGGACGATGTCCTGTGGTTCACTGGTAGCATCCTTGTCTGCTACATGGGAGACCTGGGTTCAATTCCTAGAAGCATATACAAATACAGCTGTGGAGGCAGTAAGTGTCTGAACTCAGCCTGGCCTTTGGATTCTGTCTCAGTGCCCCTAAAGGGGGGGAGGAACATCTGGACAGTCTCCACTCCTCCAAAACTGCTACCATGCACATGCATCAAAGGTCTGGGTGATCTCTCATGCATACACCATGATCTGGAGGGATCAGCAGTTGCCAAACAAAGTTGGTTAGTCAGGAAGATGTCATTTCCCTTATGAGCAATGCCAGTTTCCCTCATGGTTTCTATGAAGCTTGTGTAAGGTCCACAAGCTGTCATTTTAAGGCATCTTTTTGTGCTCCCCTTCCTTCTTCTATAATGTGAGTTCCCACAAATATTCCCGTTTTGCTATGGTTTCTCTCCAGGCTTTGAATGAAGTAATACCTGGGTGAAATAAGACATCCTTGTCCTTGTAGGGTTCTTACCAGGCAAGGATTTCTAAGTGATTGACAAAGACAAATAGTTGTAGCATGTTCTTGTCTTCCAAAGATACAGTGAATGAAGTACACACTGCACTGTATTGATTGCACCCAGAATCACAGGCCACTTCTTTTTTTATTTTTAATTAAAATGATTATTTAAATGACTAGTGCAGTTGGTACCTAACATTTTCAGCCCACAGGCTGGATGATTGGTGGCAGGTTGGTGGACTGGATCTGGCCTGATCTGGTATATGAGGTAGACCCCACCAGGGCCTAATCTAGCAGTGAGGAAATGCCCTGGCCAGGGCTGATCCTTCTGTGTGAGGCCAGCTCAACTAGGGCCAATCCACCTGTGTGGGGCTTGGAAATTTAGCAGCAGGGGAGTGGTGGCAAGGATAATTGTCACTGTTTCCCCACTGCCAAATTTCCAGACCTGTGGGAAGGCCAAGTTACATGGTTCTGGGCATTGAGCACTCTGGACTAATGGATGTACCACTAACCAGGATTAGAGTCCAAAGTTCACTTTCCAGGTCCTGCACAGATGTCTTGCGTGACCTTGAGAAGCCATTTATCCTACCTTATGCGCAAGACCTTTTGTAAACAGCTCAGTATGTCTTCAAATAAAATGCACAAAACCCCTTTCATAGACGAGCCTATGAACTTCACTTCATAAATCTACCAGATACAAAAAATCATGGATTCAATATAGACATTGGGTATATGACACATTACAACCTGCCTGACATCTGATTCACCAGGTACCTGCCAAAGCTGACCCTAAAACCTTTCCGCCCACCCCCATTCC